AAGCCTAGGGGTCAGTGAGTTGAAGATAATGGTGATGGAATAATTTGGAAAAGGATAGTGAGAATAGCAGCACAACTGGAAGAATGTAATCGATGTCACCGAATTGTACATGTAGAAACTTTTGAAATGTTGTAACTTTGGCTATGTATATTTTCTCCAAAAAAAGCGTCCCCAGGTTGAGAAGGGAAAGTGTTGACATGTCGTGGGGTTGTTAACCATAGTCATAAAACAATATGTGTACTGACTGTTTAATGAGAAACTATTTCTTCTGTAAACCTTCATCTAAAGTAAAATAAAAATAAAAAAATTTAAAAAAAAACAAAAAAAAACAAAGCTATCTGCAAATATTTCACTTTAAAAGGGCATTCACAGTGGTGAAGTCACTCCTGAGGTTCACCGTACAGCCGGGGACTGGACAGCCCCATAAAACAAAACAGGACTAATGAGGCACAGCAGTCCAGGGACAAGGACTAGAAGGCCGAAGGGGACAGGAAAGCTGGTGATAGCGAACCCAAGTTGAATAAAGACAGTGTTGACAGGTAGTGGGGTTATTAACCACTGTCATGGGGCAACATGTGTACTAACTGCTTAATGAGAAACTATTCTGTTCTGTAAACCTTCATCTAAAGTGAGAATAGCAGCACAACTGGAAGAATGTAATCGATGTCACTGAACTGTGCATGTAGAAATTTTTGAAAAGGTGTATCTTTGGCTATGTACATTTTCACCAAAAAAAACGTTCAGAAGGGAGAGGCTTGACATGTTGTGGGGCTGTTAACCAATGTCATAAAACAATATGTGCACTGACTGTTTAATGAGAAACTATTTGTTCTGTAAACCTTCGCCTAAAGTACAATTTTAAAAAAATGAAAAGAAAACGAAAAGGGCATCAGAAGGAGGCTTCTGCCGTTGCCTCACCTTTAAACTCAGACTTTGTGCCTGGCTTTGCACTTTCACAAGCCACGCATCTGGCAGACTCGGGTTTATTTTGCACCAGGCACACTTCACAGTCCCAGCTTCCCTCAGGCTTCTTGAACTTGTCCAATCCTAGTGAGCCTCCAGAAGACAGAGACACAGGTGGCGTGCTGCTACTTGAAGTGGGTACTGAGATCCCTAAAAAATAATGGGGAAACTTAGGAAAATCTCAATTTACATTATGTCAATTTCTTAACAACAATTAAGCATTTAATTGTTATTAGTCTTTCCTATTAAGACACAGAAAAATGTGTATTACATTGTTAAAACCAAGACACCTCAGGCTCCTTTTTATCTCAGCTTGCTCAGTGGTGAGCTCCTTCTTAACCCCCAGCTTGAAATGCCGCGGTATGTATATATAAACACATATATATGCTCAGCTGTCAGAGAGACGCACATCAAAATAACAATGAGATACCATCTGGCCACCGCTAGGATGGCTTAAAAAAACAAAAACAGAAAATAACAAACGTTGGCAAGGACGTGGGGAAACTGGAACTCTTATCCATTGCTGGTGGGAATGTAAAATGGTACAGCTCTGTGGAAAATAGTGTGGAGGTTCCTCAAAAAACTGAAAATAAACTATGATATGATCCTAACCAAAAGATATCTACATAAATGAAAAAACACACCACGCGCAAGGATAAGTGGACTCAACACTGTGAAAACGTCAATTCTACCCAAAGCAATCTACAAACACAATGCAATCCCAATCCAAATACCAACAGCATTCTTTAAAGAAATGGAAAAACTAAGCATTAACTTCATATGGCAAGTGAAGAAGCCTCAGATAAATAAAGCACTACTGAAGAAGAAGAATAAAGCAGGAGGACTCGCACTACCTGACCTCTGCACTTACTATACAGCTACAGTAGTCAAAACAGCCTGGTACAGGTACAATGACATACATTGACCAATGGAACAGAACTGAGGACCCAGATGTAAATCCATCCACCTACGGTCACCTGATCTTCGACAAGGGCCCAAAGTCCATCAAATGCGGAAAAGACAGTCTTTTCAACAAACGGTGCTGGCAAAACAGGACGCCCATAGGCAAACAGGATGCCCATCTGGTACTGGTACAGCAGACACAGAGACCAAAGGAACAGAATTGAGAACTCAGATGTAAATCCTTCCATCTAGGGCAGCTGATACTTGACAAAGGGCCAAAGTCTATTAAATGGGGAAAAGGCAGTCTAACAAATGGTGCTGGCATAACTGGATGTCCATATGTAAAAAATGAAACAGGACCCATACCTCACACCATACACAAAAACTAATTCAAAACGGATCAAAGACCCAAATATAAACCCAAAAACCATAAAGATCATAGAAGAAAAAATAGGGTAAACGCTAGAGACCCTAATACCCGGCATTTACAGGATAGAAACCCTAACTAACAATACACAAACACCAGAAGATAAGCTATATAACTGGGATCTTCTAAAAACTAAACACTTACGCTCTTCAAAAAACTTCACTGAAAGAGTAAAAAGAGAACCTACAGACTGGGAAAAAATTTCTGGCTATGACAAATCTGACAGAACTCTAATCTCTAAAATCTATAGGAAAATCGAACAGCTCTACAACAAAAAGACAAACAATCCAATTAAAAAACGGGCAAAGGATAGGAATGGAGACGTCACCAAAGACAACATTCATGTGGCCAACAGACACATGAGAAAATGCTCACGATCACTAGCCATTGGAGAAATGCAAATCAAAACTACAATGAGATACCGTCTCACCCCGGCATTCCTGGCGGCATTACTGGCACAAATCAAATAAACAGAAAATAACAAATGCTGGAGAGGCTGAGGGGTGATCGAAACTCTTATGCATTACTGGCGGGAAGGGAAAATGGTACAACCATTTTGGAAAACAATATGGCACTTCCTTAGAAAGCTAGGAATAGAAACACCATATGATCCAGCAATCCCACTCCTAGGAATATATCCTAGAGAAATAAAAGCCGTCACACGAATAGACCAGACGTATGCAAACCCGTGTTCACTGCAGCATTGTTCACAACAGCAAAAAGATGGAAACAACCTAGATGCCCATCAACAGATGAATGGATAAGCAAACTACGATACGGACATACAATGGAGTATTATGCAAGGATAAAGAGCAATGATGAATCTGTGAAGCATCTCACAACACGGATGAATCTGGAGAGTGTTACCTGAGTGAAATAAGTCAATCACAAAAGGACAAATATTGTATGAGACCACTACTAAAAAAATTCATGAAAAGGTTTCAACATAAAAAGAAATCTTTGTTGG